TATATATATATATGTATGTATATGGGCTGGAGAGATGACTCGGTGGTTAAGAGCACTGCCTGTTTTTCCATAGGTCCTGAGTCCAATTCCCAGAAACTACATGGTGGCTCGCAACCATCTGTAATAAGATCTGGTCCCCTCTTGAGGAAGAGACACATACACACAGTGGTCACTGGTCAGTGGTCTTCATCAACTTAGACCATGAAATCCAATATGGAAGAGTTCGACAGAACCACCATATACAGGTTGCCATGTATGCGTCAGCATTTCCAGAGCATAAATTTTATTTCATTCATATATATATACATACACACACACACATACACACGCGAGCATGTGTGTGTGTGTGTGTGTGTGTGTGTTGATCCTAAGGGCTGGGTCAGTACCACAGGTACTGTTTATATTAGCTGAAAAGTGTATCTAGTGTGAATTGCTGTGATCATTTAAGTTTCTAGACTATAACACATGGTCATTATCAGTTTTCTTTCCAACCCTGGCCCCATGTCTCAAATGAGTCTCATGGTTGATATGTTGGATTCAGGAGCACTATTCCTGAGGCGGCTATGGTCTGTGATGGGCTTGTGACAGAAGAAAATAGGGGAGAGGGAGTGGGAACGTAGTAACTGGGAAGGTGAAACCTCAGGAACCAGAACGGACACTGGCAAAAGAAGGTATAAGGATTTCCTTCCATATGCTCATCCGGAGTGTCTTTATCCTTCATCTCACTTTTTAGTTGAGAAGGACTCTGGAGCTGCATCTCACCCCTGCCTCGGTCTCAGCCAGTACCCATGTAATCTGATTGTTTCAGCTCTCTTGTCTCCACCCTTCATTCTCTGGGTTGGGCTATGTGTTCAGACACCATTCTCAGAACTCCACCTTACAGTTCCCTCAGAGATGATGTTTCCACCCCAATATCCTAAATGGATAAACTCAGGCAGAGAAACCTGGCCACTTTCTCAGGATCAAACAGTGGGTGTCTAAACGGGGATAACCATGCTGGAAGTATCTATCCAAGGGCAGTGCAGGAAGCAATTGACGATTAGCGCCTCCTCACCAAGTGGAACTTAATCTATATTTAAGACTGTCAAGATCCTGTCTTGGTTTCTCCACCCACTGGTCCCTGTTATAAGCATTTCTCCCAGGCCAAGGAAAATACTCTTCCATCTTTGGACACAGCCTCTGTGGCTCTGGTAATTGGGCTTCAGATCAAAGTTGGTGTTTTTTTTTTTTAAATTTTTATCATCATACTGGTTGCTTTTTAAATTTTGACAGCTTCTCACTTGTGTACAATATAATGTTTTTATAACCCCATTATCTCATTGCCCTTCCATTCCTACTGACCCCTTTCTTCTTCCTAATCTAGTCCCCATCCTGCTCTCAAGTCTCTCTGTGTGTATGCTTGCACACACACACACACACACACACACACACACACACGTGCACTCATGGCAGTCTTGTGCAGTAGGTCACAGCTACTGTGTGTTCATGATGGTAACAACCACATCACACCCAGAAGACAACATTTCTTAGTACTCTCCTTATGTTCCTGCTTATAGTCCTGTTACCCCATTTTCTACAAAGTCCTGTGGACCTTAGAGTGAGTAATAGAGATATCACATTTTTTACCGAGCACAGACAATTATCAAATCAGTGACTCTGGAGCCATCAAAATGCTTTTATTTTTTAGACAGATTCTCACTTTTTTTCCAGGCTTTTCTGGATGGAGATCATTATGTATCACAGCCTGGTTTCATATAATGCTTCTACTGCCTCAACCTTCCATGTTCTGGAGTTTTAGGCATGACCCACCATGACCGTCTTTCACATTGCATCTTCTCTAGATTGTCTGGGTCAAGTTCAGTCACTTCTGCCTTCTTTGAAACTTTATTCAACTTATGAGTTTCTTATTAGTGAATGAGTTTTCCTATTTATGTTTTCATTCATTTAACTGATAAGTATTGGGAAATACGATGTGGCAAACAATATGAATATTTAAAGCTAAATAGAACATGACCCTTGCTTGTCAGCAGTTCACAGTCAAATTGGAAAGGCAGATACACAGGTAGAATATTTCATGTAAGTTGTTGTGAGACTCTCTTACTGCTAATGCAGTCAAGGTATCATGGGAGAACAGAGGCCTAAGTGTCAAAGTCCAGGGATAACCAGACTGAAGCTGAACTTTTTAAGGTCTAAGAAACATGGGGAATTTATAGATATTCACAAGAAATGTGGTGGGAAGTGCAAGGAGAAGGAATTGAGGACAATTTAATGTTAGGAAGATATATTAGAGTGTTGTGGGAGGCTACTTGTTTGTTTTCCAGCTGCCCAGACTCCTGAAATAATCACACGGAAACTAAATTAGTTGAATCACTACTCGACCCATTAGCTCTAGCTTCTTTTTGGCTAACTCTTACATCCTAGCTTAGCCCATTTCTAGTAATCTGTGTATCGCGTTGTGGCTGTGGCTTACTGGGTAAAATTCCTAGCATCTGTCTCATGGCAGGGTCTATGTGGCTGTTCTCTGATTCCTCCTCCTTTCTCCCAGCATTCAGTTTAGTTTTCCCCACCTACCTCTATTCCCTATGTAGACACAAGACAGTTTCTTTATTCTCCAATGGTAATCACAGCGTACAGAGGGATATCCCACATCATTGGAGTTTTGTACCCCTGGGATAAATATCTGACATCAATACCTGGATGGCGGAAGCATTAGCAGTTCAGTCTATGATTACTTGGCTCTGTTTCTAGCCTTGTAAGTGAGGTATGACACCATGGAGGTGGGAGCTGAGGGAGGAAGAAAGGGGGTCACATCATGACTGCCAGGAAATGATATTCGGAGGGGGCCAGGAAACCAGATAGTCACCAAAATTATATTTTCCACTGACCTGCTTTCTCCTGCTAAGTCCTACTTCCCATTATTCTAACATGAAATTATGCAAGCTTTGTGTCCATCAATAGATTACACCGTGTAATATGTCTGAGCCCTCAGAGTATTGAACTCTTAAGGTACAGATGAATGTTAGGCTACAGCAACTAAGTCACTCTGTGTGGGTGGAGTACAGAGCAAAGGGACCCCTCTGGGCAGTTACAGACTCTTGCTCTTGGGTTGTGTCTAGTGGGACAGGATTTTCCTTTGGAGAGTACTTCTTCTATGTATTCTCATCCATAATGACAATTTGGAACTAGCAATGAAGGTCATGCAGACCAAACATGAGAACATCAACCATATTCACAGAACTACTGCTTTTATTTCAGCAAAACCCAGACATCCATGTGTGGGCTTAGAAAACAATATTTTAGATTGACGAGATTGGTAGAACACTTCATTCTACTGAAACTCACTGAAAATGATTCATCTACCCAAGTATAGTTTAGCTTTCCAAAGTCTTTCTTTATAAGGAAGGATCACAGACATGCATAATAAAGTTTTTAGCACATTTAATTCAGGAGTCAACAGCTTAGCACCATTTATTAGTAAAATAAGGAGTCCTGGCTTGTAAATGAGTCAGAAATCTTCTCAGACAAGGGCACCTGCATTCTCAAGGCGCGAGTCCGGTAAGGCTTGGACGTTTATGGCTTCTTTTCCTGCATCTGCTCTCCTGCCTTGCTCAATTCCATACCCTTTCCCTTGAGAAGCTTGGCTTCCTGCCACAGCGTGTATTCCCAAGTCCCTGCAGAGCCTGAATGAAGTGAGACTGGCAGGTTTCCAAGTGGAGGGAGACAGACAAAGAGTCAGTAGACTCCAAAAACTATACGAAGATTATGATGTATCCTTTAGTGAATTATGGAGACTGTTTATCTATCCAAATACATTCTTCAAAACCAGCAAAGGCTTCCGTGTTACTGTTATCCTGGCATGAATTCCAGTGATAAAATATTTCACAAATCATTTGAGTGTCTAGCATATACAAGTCAGTGTGCCATGCAGCCGGTGGCTCAAAATACAAACTCTGTCTTCCTCTTGTCTAAGAAGGAATGTCATGAAGGTGCCATAGTTGTCTCTCAGTCCTACTTCAATCAACAAATCACAGGAATAACTCTGGTCCATCATTGGTTGATCACCTATATGCTTGTTCCATCTGTGGGACAATTTGATTTGGCGATTTGAGACTTCATCTCTGGTGATATTCCTAATGAATCCGAAGGATGAGTTTTCAGTCACGTGTCAGCAGGCTGCACCAGTGATTTAAACTGGCGCTGCTCTTTCAAGCCATGAACATGTACATTTTGCTTTTGTCATCTCAAGTTTCAAAGCTGTTTTACTATTCTTCTGATTGTTTTGCACTGCTTAATCTAATACAACCTCCAAATGTGTTTCAACTCACGAGAGTCCATTTGGTGTCTACATTACTCTCTTAGCTTTCATTCATCATTGAAAATATTTATTAAGTTCGGTTATTTTAATGTTTGTTTAAGGAATGTCCAATCATTGAACTCCTACAAGAGCAAGAGGTTGTTTCTATTGAAAAAGAATTACCACCATGGAAAAAGTCTTAACACACATGGATTATATGAATGTGATGAATTCGAAGAGTCTAGGGAAAATATGCTTATATCCTTATAGTTCGATTAGTGAATAAGAATTTAGAAAAAGATATAGTGTGGGGATGGCATAATGGCCATGTTTAAGTCGTCGTTTTATCGATGCTTAAAAGTAATCTTACCACCTTCTGTCACTATTTCAATAGAAACAAGTGATTTAGGAAAAGGCATTATAATTCGTAACGAATGCATCTTTTATTTAGACTCAAGAGAATCACATTTGCCTTGGGCAATTTTGCACACTTCGTATACCACAAATGCCTTGGGAAATGTAAATGGGTAGAGTGGGGAGCTGCATTCTGGTGCTCATTATACCTTTCCTTTCTTTTCAGACACACCATGAAGTTAGATGGACACGAAGCACTCATGAACTCCCCCTTCCAGAAAAGCATGCCTTTCACAAGTGAAAGTGCTTGGCTAGTGGACTCCACAGAACCTTGACTCCCTAGTGGGGCATCATCTGCCTTTGCGGCTCTGTCTGGCGGTGGATGGCACCTCTGAACAGTGATGCTGGCCTCGGCTTTACAGACTGCCATCCCAGTGCCTTGTCTACTCCCTTGGATTAGAAAAGCTCTCACTCATTGCTCTCCATGGTGGCCAGCCTCTTCAAGAGCTTGATTTTAGCTTACCTACAGAAGCTTTGCAAAGGAATGTTTACAAAGAAATTGGGAAATACAACCAAAAAGAAAGAGAATCGTCAGCAGAAAAAAGATCAAGATTTTTCTACTGCTGGCCACACTAAACCCCCTAAATTGTCGAATACCCTGAAAAGCACTGTAAAAAAGATTGCAAAGTGCTCATCCACTCGTAACTTCTCCATAGAAGACGACGAAGGTCAAAAGGACTTCTCCCTGTCACCCACGTTCAGTTACCGAGTCGCTATCGCCAATGGCCTGCAAACAGCTGTGACCAACAGTGATGAGGACCTGCCGCAGGAGCTGTCCTCCGTTGAGAGCTCCTACTCTGAATCCTTCAGTGAGCTAAGGAGCAGCGCCGAAAACCAGGCCCAGTCAACACACACCATGCCTGTCAGACGTAACAGGAAAAGCTCAAGCAGCTTGGCACCGTCCGAGGGCAGCTCAGATGGGGAGCGCACCCTCCACACCTTAAAACTGGGCGCTTTACGGAAACTGAGGAAATGGAAGAAGAGTCAAGAGTGTGTCTCTTCAGACTCTGAGTTGAGCACCGTGAAGAAAACCTGGGGCATAAGAAGCAAATCTTTAGATAGAACCGCCCGGAACCCAAAGACAAATGTCTTGGAGCCAGGGTTCAGCTCCTCTGGGTGCATTAGCCAAACCCACGATGTTATGGAAATGATCTTTAAAGAGCTTCAGGGAATAAGTCAGATTGAAAGTGAACTTTCCGAACTCCGAGGGCACGTGAATGCTCTCAAGTACTCTATCGATGAAATCTCCAGCAGCGTGGAGGTTGTCCAGAGTGAGATTGAGCAGCTCCGCACAGGCTTTGTCCAGGCACGGAGGGAAACTAGGGACATCCACGATTACATTAAACATTTGGGTCACATGGGGAGTAAGGTAAGCCTGAGGTTTTTAAACGTGCCCGAAGAAAGATTTGAATACGTTGAAAGTGTGGTGTACCAAATTCTTGTAGATAAAATGGGCTTCTCAGATGTACTGAATACTATTAAAATTGAATTTGCCCAGAGGATAGGACAACAAAGGGATTGCCCAAACGCAAAACCTCGACCCATCCTAGTGTACTTTGAAACCCCTCAGCAAAGGGATTCTGTCTTAAAGAAATCTTATAAGCTCAAAGGCACGGGCATTGGGATCTCCACAGATATTCTGACTTATGACGTCAGAGAAAGGAAAGAGAAGGGGGGCTTACCTTCTTCCCAGACATACGAGAGCATGGACATGAAGCTATCCATGCCAGAGCCCAAAGCCAAGAAGAATGCTTGGCTGTCACCCAACGACAGTGACAGAGATCTGGAGTCTGACGTCAGCAGAAGCAGCTATGCAGACTCTCCCGCAAAAGGAAGCACATCTAAGTCCAGCTCAAAGTCACACAGTGCTCGTTCTAAGAACAAAGCGACTAACAACAGAACATCACATAAGTCAGACTCCGATAAACAGCCCTCACAGCTACCGGCATCAAATACCCCTGAAAAGCAAACAGCCCACTATGTGGAAGCCACGCCACTCTGGCACTCACAGAGTGACTTTTTCACACCTAAACTTAGTCGTTCTGAATCAGATTTTTCCAAATTGTGCCAGTCTTATTCAGAGGATTTTTCTGAAAGTCAGTTTTTTTGTAGAACTAATGGGAGCTCCCTCCTTTCCTCTTCCGACCGGGAACTTTGGCAGAGGAAGCAGGAGGGCATGTCTGCCTTGTACCACAGTCCTCAGGACCAGGGCTTGGACGGGAGGGTCCCAGCAGTGCAAGGGCAGAGTGAAATTGAGAACACAGAAACAGTGGACAGCGGAATGAGTAACAGCATGGTATGTGCGTCTGGAGACCGCAGCAATTACAGCGGGTCCCAGCTGTCCCTGCATGAGGACCTGTCTCCGTGGAAGGAGTGGAATCAAGCCGAACAAGTCACTGATGTTGGTTTAGATTCCTCCACTCAAGAAGCTTTTGACTACGACACCAATAGTTTGTCTGACCAACAACTGGATGGCTTCAGCAGAGACCTAGATGACCCGGGAAAGTGCCACAGTGACCTGCAAGATGACTCGGAAAGCTATGATTTAACCCAGGATGACAACTCCTCTCCGTGCCCTGGGTTGGATAATGAACCCCAAGGCCAGTGGATTGGCCCATACGATTCTTATGAAAAAACCAATTCAAACGAGCCATACCCCAACCAAAACCAGCCATCTATGATGTACCGAAGCCAAAGTGAATTGCAAAGTGATGATTCAGAGGGTGCCCCGCCTAAGTCCTGGCACAGTCGGTTAAGCATTGACCTTTCTGATAAGACCTTCAAGTTCCCCAAATTTGGATCTACACTTCAGAGAGCAAAGTCAGCCCTGGAAGTGGTGTGGAATAAGAGCACACAGAGTCTCAGTGGGTGTGAGGACAGTGGCTCTTCCTTAATGGGGAGATTTCGGACACTCTCTCAATCCACGGCAAATGAGTCGAGTACCACCCTTGACTCTGATATCTACACAGAGCCCTATTACTACAAAGCTGAGGAAGAGGAGGACTACAGTGAGCCAGTGGCAGACAGTGAGACGGATTATGTTGAAGTGATGGAGCAAGTCCTAGCTAAACTAGAAAACAGGACTAGTGTCACTGACGTAGATGAACACATGAAAGACTATGACCACCCTTCCTATGAAACTCCTTATGAGACCCCACAAGACGAGGGCTATGATGGGCAGGCAGATGACATCATTAGTGAAGGAGAACTAGAAACCTTGAATGAACCAGCAGTTGAAATGGAATTAGCGGAAGATGAAAACCAAAACCTCCCTGTGGAGCCCCCGGAGGTCATGAAGCCAAAGAGAATCCGACCCTCCTTCAAAGAAGCAGCTCTAAGGGCCTATAAGAAGCAGATGGCAGAGCTGGAAGAGAAGATCCTGGCTGGAGGTACTCGAGTTTAAATGCTAAGTTATGCGATATGTCTTAATTCTTATTGGTGCGGTTGGACAGGATGGTCTCAGTTTTCCTGGGAGAAGGAATTTACCTAGAGTGAATTTGTGAGTGAGTGAGTGTGTGTGTGTGTGTGTGTGTGTGTGTGTGTGTGTGTGTGTGTGCTCTGAGAAGAAATTTATTTTATTCAGGTAGCTCTCTCAACAAGGTGGAATTCATAAGGAAAGGGAAAATAGATTTCAGATAGTTCATATTGAAATGAGCTCAACTCTAGCCCTGTACATGGTGAATCAAGATTCTTGTCCTAGGTGCAAGATTCATTGTAGGGAAAAGGACAGGCCCTTGACTGAGCAGCCTTGCACCCATGCCCTGGTTCCACTAGGTTCACAGGGTAGAGGAGAAAGTAGTATTTCATTTTACAATTTGGAGAAGACAAAGGGTCAAATATAAGCATTTCTTTGTAGAGCTACAGTTTGGAGCTTGATGTAGGAAAAGGTGGGCCTACAGAGCTAATCTCAGCCAGACCTGTGGATGACTGCCAACTTCCCTTATGCAGAATAAATAAACTGAAAAAAAATGCAACAGAGTCAGGAACCCAGGGTACCCAGAGCAGACAAATGTCTGCTTGGTGTTAGCAGAAGTCAGAGTGGGGGAGCTTCCTCAGGAGTGGTTGAGAAGTTGCTTCTTTTGTGTGAAAAGCAGAAGAACTGATCTATTCTTTTAAATTTCCTAGGGGAACAATTTTAGATGTGGGATTTAGTAACTGTGCACAGATATGAGTTCAATGATTTTGCTTATTAACTAAACCTCATTTGTAATCACCTCAATTATTTTCATTTTATTTGCATGTCTATAGTATCTTGGGATAGTATTTTTAAAATCTCTTTTAAATGCAATTTTGATATTTTCATGTGGTCTCGGATTACAGTGTTGACATCTTCCATTAAAATATATATTCTGTATAATATTTTCTAGAGGCATATGTGTATGTGATTGAGATTAATCTGCTATTCTGAAATTTTATTATAGAATAATTTGTGTAATTGGTAGCTTATTGTGGCTTCCCTGCCTCAAAACCTCCTAACTCCCACTTTCTCACTGAAAAGGCAGGGTGCTGAGTCAGCAGTCTTCTTACCATCAAATGGTACAAGACCTAAGACTGTTAGCTCTCTCTCCTCCAAAAATCTTACCCATAGGAAACAACTCAGCCCGTGTACTTAAAGGAGAGATGTCTTGGGGTGGGTGCTGGTACATTGCCTGTGACTCTGTAATGATTTATAACAGAGACAGCTCTCAACTACTTAGAACTGATTTGAAAATGCAAAACAGTCTAGTTTATTGTTATATAAATATAATTATATTAGAATAATAATATCTTTCATCAAAGTAAGGTTTGGAAGTCCTTGTCAGTAACATTCAGCTGACTGTTTTTTATGTAGACTCTGGAAATCAGATTCTTTTAAAATTTACTGTAGATTCAGCATATTACTTAAAAGATTAAAATGTGTTTGTGTGTGTGTGTGTGTGTGTGTTAGAATATTATTTTAAGATGTGTTACATTTGTTTATGCTGTGGAATATTTGCTTGATGATGAAGAAACGTGTTGCTTTCCTTTTTGTTTAACTCTGTGAAGCTGTGTTAATTTGCCTGTCTAAAACATCCGATTGGTCTAATAAAGAGCTGAACAACCAATAGCAAGGTAGGATAAAGGATAGGTGGGATTGGCAGGCAGAGAGGATAAACAGAAGAACATTAGAAGGATCAAAAGAAGGAGCAAGAGAACAAGAAGAGGAGGAGAACGCTAGGGGCAGGCACTTAGCCACACAGCTGTGGAGTAAGAGTGAAAGTAAGGTACACAGAAGAAAAGGGAAAAGCCCAGAGGTAAAAGGTAGTCAGGGTAATTAAAGTTAAGGAAAGGTGGATAGAAACAAGCCAAGCTAACACTGGGCATTTATAAGAAAGAATAAGCCCCCATGTGTATTTATTTGGGAACTGGGTGGCAATCATCCCAAAGAGTAAAGAGTAGAAAAACAGCCAACAACGTGTGTGTGTGTGTGTGTTTAATGTGATATAATGGATATCTGTTTACAGTCAATACATTAAAGGTATCAGTTTGAAATATTAGACAACAAAAATATGGCAAGTCCTTATATTTCAGAAGAAAAATGTGGATCTTCAATTTAAAAACTAGAGTTATTTTATATGTTTATCAATGATATTCATGCACATACATTTGTGTACCACCAGTGTGTCTGGTATCCTCAGAGGCCAGAAGAGAGCATTTACAGGGGTTGTGAGCTGTCATGTGGGTGCCAGGAACAAATCTGGGTCCTCTGCAAGAGCAGTCAGTGCCTCTAGTTTTTAAAGAAGAAAACTGATGTATAGAAACAGGGAATATTGTTTGGCTTTCTGAAAGGGATAGCTTTCCATTTGTTACAGCATGGATGGGCCTTTAGGTTGTCATTTATCAAGTGATGCAAGAAACAAGAATATCACAGGACACAATTTATACGAAATAGCCTAACAAAAGCAGTCAGGGCTTGAGTATAGCTCATTACCAGAGCAATAAACTACCATGTGAGAGAGGCTCGGGGTTCCCTCTTGAGTACTTACAAAGGAAATCAAATTTGAAGAGAAAGACAGTAAAGCAGCGGTAAACAGGAGCAGGGAGTGTGGAGGAGAGAACCAGACATATGAGGGAGAGGAAACAAATGATAGACACATGAGATGAACCAAGTCTGGGTCTGGGATCCAATGGCCCAGTGCTGACTACAGAGGACTATAGTGATTACTTTTTATATGTGTGTTCTTGACACACACCAAAGGATGACCATGTGAGGTAATGAATATGCTAATTTGTTTCACTATAATCATTTTACCCTCTATACCTATCTCATTATGTCTTAGAAACATATACAATATGTTTATTTAAAAATTAAATTTAAAATGAAAATTCTACAATAGCTGGGCCCTACAAGTTAGATTGCTATGATAATGACCCTTTCACCCCATCATCTGTGGTACTTTTCAGAAAACAGATTGGTGTGCCTGCAATGATAAATAAAAAAGTAAGATGAAGAGGGTACCTGGGTACCTTTCATTATGCCCTGCCAAGGTATGCCACTAAGCAAACACGCCAAGGCAACAGAGGTAGTGCAAGAGGTTTACTGGGGAGCAGGGAAGGGGAGAGTGAAAGAGGGAAAGGCCATGTTGGAGTGGGTACATGAAAGAGGCAGGCAGAGACAGAGGGAGAGAGAGAGAGAGAGAGAGAGAGAGAGAGAGAAAGAGAGAGAGAGAGAGAGAGAGAGAGCAGGAAAGGGACAAGTGGAAAAAGAGACGCAATAAAAGAGCAAGAGGCAAGAGAGGCAAGTAGCCTGGCGGACACTTTTTAAAGGGTGCATATGTCCCATAGTTGACAGCAGAAAGGCACCTGGCAGCGGGTGATGATGTAACTTAAAGCCGCTTTGGTGGCAGAGGCAGGCTGCTGCACGGTCAGAAGCTAACAGTGCCTCAATCACCAACATGAGTATTCTGAATCGGAGGAAGCTGTGTCATGTACTGCAGGCAGATCTGCAGAGGACTCAGAACCCTCTGTGATCTTGTCTTAGTGTCATCCTGTGAGGCGGCTTTGAGTGGAACCTGAGGGGATGCACTATACCACAGGAAATCTGCACACTCTTCCTTAAGATCCACTCTGGTTCTGAGAGGCAGCAGTTTGACGCCCCGGGAGGCTGCAGTAGCCTAGATTTCAAAGGGCAGCTCAGCTCTGCTTGGCAGTGACCAGGCATTTTCCCCATCCTGTGCTCCCAATATGCTTCTGAGGGAAGGGCAGCCAGAGAAGGACTTTTCCAGGCCCTTTCCTGCTTCAGGCATCCAACAAGGTGCCAATCGCTATGGTGGTTTTGTGCCCACGGCCATCTGCTCCCTGAGCCTTGGGTAGGTGCCTGCAGGCTTGCTCTCCATGGCTGCCTGGTTCTCATTAGGCAGCATCTCTGTCGTTTTTTTACAAACCAGGCCAGAAAGATCTTGCTGGAAATCTCTGTGGAATGTAGAACCCTAAACATAGGATTATAAAATTACATGTTCAGACATTTGAATGATTTCAAGTTTTCTCTTCAGAGCCTAGAAGACAAGAAACTTTTAATGATTGTGCCTACTTGGGGATGATATTGTGGGAAAAAAAATTAACTTCACACCATCAACATTCCAATAGTATAAGTTCTCTCAGACTCTATATGGCAAAAGAAATAAAGAAACAAACAAAAAACCTGGCCCCATGGAGTCCAAATCTTCCCTATCATTGGGCCCTGCTGGGTGATGTCATTTGCACAGCTCGCTCAAACTCTGTGTCATACTATGAATGTTTTGATTTCTCCCTCCAGCCCAGAACTAACCAGATTCACTCCAGTCTCCTTTAAATTCCCCTCTATCTGTCTCTGTGGTCCTAGAGTGCACCTTGTATTTGAACATGCTTCTTGTTTCTCTTCCTAGCCCAAAACCAGAATCTCAGCTATGCTTGACACAGAAAGACATGAGTTAGGTGTTGGCTTCATGCTTACATGAAAAAGAAAAAGAAAAAAAAACCCTGAATAGCAAGGACAATCTCCAAAGTAGAACTTGACTTCAAATCTCCAAGGCAGTCAATGGCTAAGGTCATGACTTTGTGGAATGGTTCATGGTGAAACTCACCACCCCATATTATTGCATATGTATATGTATGCTTATATGGATAAACACATACATACACCTATATAAATATTTAATTGGGTCAATGAGATGAAGTCTTACAAGCTCATTTTCTTTTTTCAATAAAATTTAGTATTTCTTGGTCATATATACTTCAAGATAGTAAACGATAATTACTTAGCTTCTTCTATGGAAACCCCAATCAAATGATGAGTCTCTCCATTTTAGCTTGGAACCTCTTATCTTTAAGAAGATTGGATGTGTAGGATGTTCCTTCCGTGATGACCTGGCCCACATATCACCAAAACTGT